ATGGTAAGTTTTTAGAATTCCATGTCCGTTGCCCCGTGAGGCTCCCCAGCACGGCCGCTTGGCTCATGGAAGCCAGCAAGACCAAAATGCCAGTCTTTCTCATGACCTAATCTCGGAAGTGTCGCCCCATCATGTCTGCCATTCTCTGTGGGTCCGAAACCAGTCAGTGGATCCAGCTCACGCAAGGGGAGGGGAGGGACCACACGGGGGCATGAGCGCCAGGAGGTGGGCATCCCTGGGGCCATCTTAGAAGTCGGCCACCGCAGCCAGTGAGGAGCAAGACTCCGGGCTGGTGCCGCAGAGAGCCCGGTGGCCTCCTGCCAGGCGGTGCAGCTTAGGCCAGGACCGACGGCTTCTGGTAACCTAACTCTGCATGGCAAACTAGCCCCGCAGTGGCGCAGAACGGCGATAACCACTTCTGCTCAACAGAACCCTGCAGTCTGGGCAGGGCCTTGTGGGCATCGCTCATCCCTGCTGCACTTGGCACCGGCCAGGTGGCTCCGAGGCCGGGGCCCTCTGTCACCAGCCGCTTGCTCTCACCTGGGAGAGGGGTGGGCGGCAGGGGAGCGGGGAGAGAGAGGAAGTGGAAGCAGGAGGGGGTGGGGAGGCTGGAGGAGGAGACAGACACTGCAGTGTGCAAGGACCTCCCCACTGTTGGCTAGCTCTGGGCTCCCTGCCCTCCGGGGAAGGAGCGCTAGGGAAGAAGGCGCCTTGCCGTAGAAGCTCAGTACCGCGGCTCAGTCTAAAGCTTCGCTGCTTCCCTCCGTCCTGTGCTTTAGGGGCCCGTAACAGAATGGGGGCGATCAGGCCCTGCCCCTGCGGAGGCCCGTGTTCTTCCCAGGGCCACCCCTGCGTCCTCCCAGAGGGGTTAGCACAGGCCTTGCTTGCTCATCTTGCTTCACATTTCCCCGCACGCCTTACTAGTCGAGTACATCCGTGTATCCCTAGACAGGTGTGTCACTGTGTGCACACTCAGCCTGGTGGTTCTCATCCGTGGTGGTGGTCCCAGCTGTCGTCCCTTCCTGCCAGTCTGTTTATAGTGAATGAATTTACGACAGTCTCCGTGTTCATCCGGATTTATAGATCACACTTCCCTTTTTATGCGCTCCGGTCTGAGGCTGATGGACATTTCGGTGGTTTCTGGTTGGTAGCTCTTGCACTCCATACGGCTGCGTGCCTTCCCCACGCCTCCTGGCTCACGTGGGAGTGTGTTTCTCCCTGTTCTCTGCCCGGTAGGAGGACGGGGAGCCAGAAATGTACAAGGATAACATGAAATCATGTTCTAAATGGCTTGTGCCATTTATATGCCCAGTGGCTCCACGTGACTACCAACGCTCGGTATGCCAGACTTCCTAAGTTTTTCTTCGGTAGGTATAAAGTGGTATCTCATTTTGGCATTTCTCCAATCCCTGATGAGCCTGAGCATCTTTTCACCATTCCTTTTTTGGTCATCGGTGTTCCCGTTCTGTGCCTTGTTGAGGTCTTTTGCCAGTTTCTGTTAGACTGTCTGTCCTTCTTGATTTGTTGTAAACTTCTTTGTATTCTAGAGAATTGTTTGTTGGTTATATGTGTTATATAAATCTTCTCCCACAGATCATGCAGGGCAGGGCCCCCATGTCAAACCCTCAGTGGGATTCTGTTGCTCTTTGAAGAAAATCTAAGCCCCCTTGCCTGGCCCACAAGGCCTTACTGACCTGACCCTGCCCACTCTTCCAAGCCCACCTCCGATCATTCCCCCCATTCCAACCACTGGCCTCCTTTCTGCTCTTTCTCACCTCAGGGCCTTTGCACGTGCTGTTGCCTCTGCCTAGACAGACATTCCGTCCTCAAAGCTCCTCCTCAACCACCTGACTGAAGCAGTATCCCTCTCACACCCTCCCTTGACCCATTTCTTGCCTTCTTAGAAACGATCGCAGTCTGTACTCATTTGTTACCCATGATCGTCACTCTTCCCTCCCAGAATGTAAGTGCCATGAAGGCCAGGGACCGTGTCCGTTCTGTTCAGCACCGTCCCTAGCACCTACCCTGGGACTGGTTTGTAATGCACCAGTTGGTGCTCTCATTGAAGGCTGATACTATGCAGGTGGGCCACAGTCAGGAAGAGGTGGTGCCTGTGTCAGATACTGGTCAAGACATTCTGGTTAAGAATTTCCTATTTGTCAGTAACATTTTGGCCTTACAAGTGGATGTTTAAATCTGTTACTTATTTTTCTTCCCCTGACTAATGTCGAGTAGAAACTGATGGGGGGTGGTGGTTAATTCTCTGCCCCAGCTTTCCTGTCAAGTAGAACAGCCACAGATTAATCTTTCTACGGAATTCGGGCAGAGGTCGAACACAATAGTTTGCACACGCCCCCTCTGCTCCCAGGACGGTTGTAAGGGCACACTCATGCCTCCTGCGGTTTCTCGTGGCCTCAGCCAGAGAGAGACCCTGAAACGGGCAGGCTGCCCAGGACACCTCTCAGCGGGGTTGAGAAGATTCTGAGCTCACACCCTGTTTCACACCCAGCAAGGGAGACATAATTTTTCTGACTTTTCTTAGGGAATCTAACCATCACGTGAGGGTCTTTGTACACCGCATCAGTGTGGCTTCGCTGGCTCCATGCGGGAGACATGGGGAAGGTGACAGAAACAAGACGCTGGGTGGATCCTCCTTTATTTGCCATGTTTTGCGAATCAGCTCCTCTGTTTACATAATGAAGGGAAATCTTGTGTGAAGAGAGAGCTCTTAAAACCACAGCCAGTGTAGGGTTTTATTTATGAGGACAATTGCTAAAAACCCAGCTGTTTCCCTCCCTGATTGCGTAGAGCAAAGCCAAGGGCCATTATGTCTCCAGCATTAATAGCAAGCTCCCTGGAGCCCGCGATCTGGCCGTGGCATCCTGGTGACTCTTACGTGGACAGGGATGGAGCGTCCCTTTTCTCCCTCCAGCCCTCTGGGAGGAGGGTGGACGAACACCAGATGACCACTTTCGTGCAGTACCTAGAAAATGGTCAACCAAGGATTTTTTGAGACGGGACTTAACTACGGGTTCAAGAGGATGCTTGAGAGCTATTCTGCTCTTCATGAAGTTCACAGAAACCAGAATAAAACTGAATCAAAACCTGAGGCCTTTTCATCTCGAGCACATTATTCTAGAACAGCGTGACTTCATCTGTCCGACTTTGGGGCGCAAAAATTATTCTGCAGAAGTGGCTTTTCCATACAATTGAAGGGCTCAAAAATGCTTTCAAATGTTTCAAGGTCATTTTTGATGTAAATATTCCTAAATGCACGACATGTTGTGGGGCCCTGGCCCTCGGGTTTGGCTGGCTCCGGGCGGGGCCTGGGTGGGCACGGGGAGATGTCAAGGCTCGCTCACAGGTGGTTCGGATGGGCGGCCAGGGGGTAGAAGCAGTGACACACAGTAACTGAATACAGGAATGAGTGAGGGCAGTGTTGGCCTCCACGGTCCTGAGGATGCTTGGCATTTGGGGCTGATAACCCTGCTGATGCCGGACCCCAGGAGGGGTGGCCAGGGTTGTTAAGACCGTGACCATGCCTGTGGGCTCAGGGGCAGGGGGTCCTCTCTGTAGGGATTCAGGAGCCGTGTATTTGACATTGAGTGTGCCCAACTCCTCAAGCCCTGGTGGGTAAGGTTTGTCGACACTAAACCCTCTGATGAGAAATCAGAGGACTGGGTATTTGTGGTTAGTAAATGCTGGTGCACACATTTTAAAGGCAAGCAACCTTTTTATAACTGGCCGTGAGGTGGAGCTGCAAAATATTGATAAGATGGCTATAAAAAAAGGCAGAAGTCCTTCCTAACGCCTATTTTTGTTATATAGGACACTTAGATCATGAAAACGAAGTAGAGAAAAAAAAAAAAAACCCTCCAACTGATGTCCCACATGAGTGTCTTCGAAGATGTTTGTACAAATCTACCCAAAGAAACTTCCCTGAATCCTGTATGTCGAGGAAGCACGGAATGTTAGGGCAGGAAGGGGCCGGATCCGCTTGGGGATGACCTTGACCTACTTATTGTGGTTAAAAAAAGACTCAGGAGACGTGGGCACGGTGCACTGATGCTGTATCATAAATACGGTGTCTTCAGTTACAAGAGGCTCTGTTTGAGTTACATACACTCTAGAAAACTTATGTACAAATAATTTAAAATGGATTGTAAGTGATGTTCATGGTCTTTGCTCTAATGAGTTGGCCACCATGTCCAAATATGACACCTTCTATGGGAAAGTTGGATTTACTTTCACCCTGGACGTGGCTCTGGCATCTTTTCCAACACCCCGGGGTAGGGGCTGTCTGCACGGACTGCTCAGGTGGTTTGGAGTTGCGTGCTGTAATTGGGGGGACCGGGCCTGGACCCACTGTGAGAGATCTCAGATCACAGAAGTGACCCCCTTCGTGGACCCCAACAAAGGCCTCCCTTCTGCATGGCCAGTCATGTTAGTGAAGAACACAGCAGTTGCATATTCACTATGACTCAAAAAAAAAAAAAAACTTGATTTCACACCAGTGACATTCAGATCTGTCATCTCAGGCACTTGAAAAAACCTCCTTTCCAACCGATCTAAAAAAACAATTGCCCTCTGATATTTTGGGATTTCTTCAGAAGGAAAAGACCACTTAAATTTTATTCCATAAAAATTATAGTCAAATTTCAGCTCACAGTGGGTCTTAATCCTAGGACTTGCCTAGAGTCAAGAAAGCAATTGTCTTCAAGACTGGCCTTGAAAAGCCCGTGTCTCTGGTGACAAGGAGGCAGCACCGTGCGGCCTTGGGGGGACGCAGAGGGGAGCAGGGGCCACTCGGCGGGGGGGTGGGTGTGGGTCCTCCCGAGGGAGCCTTCTTCCTCCACAATTCTTCTTGATGGACTCAGGAAGACGACGGGCTGAGTACTTCCGGAGCAAATATTTTTACAGGCAGCTAAAGGAGATGCCACCTGTAAATCGTAGCTGCAGGGCAGGGAGCAGCTGACCACGGTCTCTGAGAAGCCCAGTCCTCAGGCCACGGGGGGCGTGTCCCCCCTCTTGAGGCAGCGCATGATGAAAGTCCCCAGGGCCACCAGGGGGATGCACATGATGGAGGAGGCCACCAGCAGCCCGATGACGGCCAGGGCGTATGGGGGGTAATCCTTGGTCACAAGCTGACCCTGAAAGGAGAAACTGAGGGTCAGCAGGAGGGGCTGCTGCAGGCTGAGCGTGGCTTGGCAGAGAGGCTGTGTGCAGTGGGGTTGTCTGGGGCCCCCTGGCTCTGCAGCTCACTAGCAAGTGTGCTGGGCAGACTGGTCCCCCTTACCTTCTTTCTCTTCCGTACACCTCACCCATCGTGCATACAGCCACTATTTTGGCACTACCCCTGTAGAGTCACCCCAAGAATAATCAAGGGCCTTCCACTTGAGGGACCGTGCGGGGCCCCTGCATGGAAGGGGGCTAACCTTAGCCCAGTGCTGTCCAACAGAACCTTCTGTGAGGGTAGAAATGTTCCATATCGGTGTTGTCCAACATGGCAGCCACAGACACAGGGCGCTACTGAGCGCTTGAAATGTGGCCAGTGAGAGTGAAGAACTGAATTTTAATTTTGATTGAGTTGTAATGAATTGAAATGTGAATCACCCCATGTGGCTGTTGGCTACCCTCTTGAACGGCACAGCCCTAGTCAGAAGTCTTGATGAACCTCTGGATTTAGTCCCTGGATGGTTCCCTGAATGCACATGCATTAAAGCTGATGAGAAATGAGGCCAAAAAGCCCATAAAGGTCACCTCTCCAGGAGGGAGCCACGGAACAGCTACATCCGGGGGAAGCGGGTGTTTGCTGTCAACCAAGCATGGTTTGTAAACCAAAACGCTGCTTAGAGTGTGGTGTGGGAAACCAGCCCACAGACTTTTGGTTGCTCGTCTCGTCTCTTGTTTTGTTCTGTCCTGACCAGTGCAGAAAGTGGGGAGGGGCGGGGTGACATTTAGAAGCTGTTGGAGCAATTTGACAGCTTCATCTTGTGTCTGTTGAATATAATAAGTGATTGGAGCTTGTATTCTATAGATCTTTTTCTCATTTCACTTTTCAAGTGGTTCCCTGTCCTTGCATCTTACAAAAGTATCAGGCTGCTATGGATTGGGGAAGACTCCCCGGTCCCCCGGCCACGGCTGGAGAGGCCCAGCCGCCGGAACCAGGGGTGGGGGCGCCTTCGGCCGCCATCGGTCACGTTCGCTATGAAAGCGCGTCTGTGTAGGGGACAGCCCGGGCTGGCTGTTCAGACTCTGACACACTGTCCTGCTGCCCTGAGCGAGCCTGTTCTGTTCCAGCCGCACGCGGAGCCGGGCTCTGCCGGGATGTGGCACCCCGCTGCTAACGGGGTCCCCTCAGGCCCCTGCGGTGTCCCTTCCAGGGCTCAGGGGCCCGGCCCTCCAGGCTCGCTCGGCCTTCCCCGAGGAGGCCCAGTGGACAGAGCTCAGAGGGCCTGGGGCGGCGGCGGCGGCGGAGGAGGAGAGTGCTGCCGGGGCTGGGAACCAGCGCCGTGCAGGGGACCTTCTCCCGGCCTCCCGGAAAGGCCCCCTGGGAAGTTCCGGAGGGAATCCTACTCACTTTCCTGGAGCACCTGTAGAAAAACCAGAGCTCACTTCTGCTCTCCTGGGCTGAGTGTTTTTCAATGCCTGGGTGATGTTTCCGTGTCGTGACAAATAACCTGCCCACACCAGGGAAATGGGTCTTTGGTTTCAGCAAACGTAAAGCCGGGGCTTGAGAGCGAGCCCGGGGGCCCTGAGACGGAGGGTACCTGGGCGGCGTCCCAGGCTTGGTACTGCAGGGTCCCCGTGAGGATGTAGTCACTCAGGTAGAAGACAAAGAGGCTGATGATGAGCAGCGGGCTCACGCCGGCCCACATGGCCTTCCAGTACCAGTTCAGGGCGCGGCCAGTCATGGCCTTGAGGTCACTTTCAAATCTATTTGGAAAATGGGGAGAAAGTGGATTATCCATGCTGTTGGGGCAAGGGGGGCCCGGCTTTCATATCCATTTGCTGAGGAAGATTCTGTTCTGCGCACCACCGACGATCACCTCTCCGGGGTCCCTCTCTGATGCCTTCCGGGGAGAGGGTGTGCGGGGTGGGGAGCGGAGAGGGGCTGAGGCCGCCACAAAGCAGGGCAGCAAACCAGCGGGCCGCTCTCCATGGCGCTAGAAGTGGGCAGGGAGAGGGGCGGGGCGGGTTGAGGCGAGATGGTCACCAGCTGCAGCCACGGCCACTTGCCACACTTGGGCCTGGGGCTTGTCCCACAGAAGCCTGCAGACCTCCAGCTGCTGCTGACCTGGCTGGACCCCGGGTTCCGGGCCACGAAGGCTCCTGTGCTTCATGTGAATACCTGGGATTTTCAAGACGACACGTTCTTTTGTTCCTTCACATCCCCCCCCGTCCCCCCCCCCCCCCCCTTTCCTGGATAGAGAGAAGTGGGGAGAGCTAGCGGGCTGCCGAAGAAAGGGTGACGTGGCACTGTTGCTCAGCGGTCACTAGATGGCGCTGTCCCCTGGGCCAGCAGAGGGTCTGCCCTCTCCCGGCCATTCCCGGATCCTGCCCCTTACATTACAAACTCTGCCAGACACCGTGGGTTTCTCCCTCCCTCCGGCCCTCACCACTTAGCACCACCCCTTTGCATGGTCTTGTGTCCCTTCTCCAGCACCTCCCCTGGGCCCTGGCACCTCCCTGGTCTTCTTTTCTCAACCTCTTTTCCTGGGAAACACCTACCGTCGCAGGGGACCGATCTGTTTCTCCCTCTAGACTGCCATTTCCTAGGTGACCGACTTGTCCCATTGACCCAGGACGTCCCCAGTGTTAGCACCGAATGTCCCCCATCCCGGGAAACCCCTCGGTCCCAAGAAAACAGGGAGAATGAGTCCACTCTAACCCGAATGTCTTCGATAGGTAGCAAATGGGAGGGATGGATACAAAAGAAGTCTTTCTTGACCGAAAACGTTTTGGAAATGCTACACATTATACCCCTCTTTGAGATTCACAATGGTCTTCAAGGCTCCAAGAAGTCCTATAGGAAAGAAATGTTGGTTTTGTTTAACTTATGATGTCCCGAAATTATTTGATCACGGAAGTCCCTTGGTGTGACAGGGGACCCCAGAGCTTCCAGGGACACGGTGGGAAACGTGGCTCAACGGGTCTGGTTTCTAGAGTCATGGCTGGTCCTCTCCACTCCCACCCCCCCCAAACCAGTTGGGAGGATCAGAAAAGACTGGGGGGTGGGGGGCAACACGGACACACCTTTGTAATCGGCTCACCTCTGAGCAGTGCTTCCCACAAGTGTAATGTGCCTTGGGCCCCTCCCATGTTAGAAGGTAGGATCTGAGTCAGTGGGCCTGGGCGGCCCGAGATACCCCCGCATTTTCAACAAGCTCCCTGATGATGCTGAGGCTGCTACTCTGGGACCACACCCAGGGCAGCAAGGCTCTCTAGACCAGTGGTTCTCAGACTGAGCTCCCCGGACTCCCCCGGCAACTCCTTAGCAACGTGAGTCCCTGGACCAGTCTCGGCACCTATGTAATCAGAGCCCTGGGGTGAGGCCCAGCGGTCAGTGTCGGAACCGGCCCTCCACGCTCAAGTTTGGAAGCCGCTCTAGACCCCTGGTCTCAGCCCAGCAGCACACTGCATCATCTGGGGGAGATTTAAAAACATTCCAGTGCTGTATCATGCCCTGGGATCAAGAACCTGACATCTTGAATTTGCCACATTTTCTAGGGTGTATCAACTGGACTTTGGTCGGCATGTTCGAAAAATACTGATGTTTACCGATGATCAGAGTGTCTAGTGCCTGGAGGCACGGTTCCCTGCCCCAGTGAGCCGCTGCAGGGTCAACAGGCGAACATCCCACAGTAAAAAGTTAAAATATAGAAAGCGGAGAGAGGAGATACTGGTTGAAGTTGGGAACGAGGCAGAGAATTAGCTGGGCAAAGGGAAAAGCAAATGCCAAGCTGGAAGAGAAAAGTGAAATGCATGTACGAAGGGGCCGCTTTCTTTGTGGGGTGTCGCTTTCGTGGGCATGTCCCCCCAGCAGGTGACAGGGGCGGGGCCTCCTCACCTCCGCAGCCCGTACACGTAACACACGGCGATGGTCTCCACCAGGACGATGAGCAGCAGGGACAGTGTGGCAGCGTATTCATTAAATATGTCGAACCAGTAGTTGCCGGCCTCCATGGTGAACACCAGGCCGATGACACAGTTGACGAAGCACACCAGACCTGGGGCCACAAGACCACACGCTCACCTGCCTGAGACGCCCACCCATTCAGCCAGTTTCCTGTGCCCCAGTGGAGCCACAGACCCCAAGGGGACGCGGCCATGGACTGGCCTTTCTGCCTGTGTATGCCACAGGTGTGTGTGTTCAGGGGGCAACAATGGTGTCCCAAGGAGTGTGTGTCTGCACAAGTCACTGATGTTAATTCAGGGAGCTGTCCTGCAGGGGGCGTCAAGCTCAGTGGAAAAGAGAAAGTTGTGGGCACTGCTGTCTGGGGGAAGTGGGGGGGGGTCCCACCCTGCCTGTGGGTCTGGTGATGCTGTTTACCCCAACAACTCAGCCTCTGAGCTTATGGGAGGTGAATCGGGGCACCCATCTCAGGACCTCCTAGGGAGGACTCACGTCTGGCCAGAAGAGGGGGCAGGGAGGGGAGGGGAAGACAGGAATGTTCACCCAGCTCCCCACTATACATGCCCCTGGCACGTGTCATGCATTTGGCTCCAATAGCCTGGGGAGCCCCCTTTCACAGACGGGAAACCCAAGGCTCAGAGAGGAACTTTCCCAACATCCCACAGCATGGAAGTGGTGGAGTCGGGGTTCAGACGGAGGCCCTTCTGCCTCCAGAGCCCAGGTTCCTGTCCCAGTCTCCACTGGCTGACACCTCCAGGGACCCCACAAAGTATTTGACTCTCAAGCTCCCGCCTGCCCCTCCCACCGCCACACCATGTCGCCAAGCCCCCGTGCCATCTTGCGGGGACACACCAGGAGAAGGGGCCACGTGCTGGCTGGGAGCTAACAGCACGCATCATGCAACTACAGAGACCAGGGGCGAGGAGCAATGCTCAGTGCTCGAGGGCGCTGACAAAGGGTGAGCAGCTCTACCTGGCTGGCCAGGACTTTAAGGGCATGGGATGGGAGCTGGGTGGGATTCGGGCTGGGAGAAGGGACGTTGTAGATGTGGTGGGATGGCGTCATCGTGGGGCAGGGGTCGGGGCCATTGGGTCCCCCAGACACCGCCAGGTAGGATGATGGAGCAGATGGATGGTGGCATGAAGCAGGGAGAGGGGTGGTTAGAAATACAGGTTCCTTCCCTAGCAACCCAAATGCCCCCCGGCGTGCGTCGTCTTATAGGGAATCTTTTATCACGCAGGCGGGAAAGGGACAGACCGACGGCCACTGGCAACAATGGGGTGGACCGCCCAGAGTTTGGTGAAGACAAGAGACACAAAGAGCACAAACGGTGTGATTTCATTTATATGAAATTAAAGAGGGGAAAAACAATCCTAAAGTGTTAGCAGTCAGAGAGAGGTGGCATACTGACTGGGAAGGGGTGGGGAGGGGCTCTCGGGGGTGCTGGAAATGCTCCGCATCTTGACTTCGGTGGTGGTTACTTGGGTGGAAACATGTAAAAATCATTGAGATCGTGTTTAAGAAATGTACATGTTACAATTGTTATACTTCGTTTGAAACAAAGACCCAGGCAGATTCGCTCCTAGCCTGAAGAGTTTTGAGCACCATGTTGGTGGGTTTGGCCTTCCCCAAGCCTGGGGTGGCCACTGGGCTTCCCCGTGATGGAGAACCAGAGGCACGGGCGAATCACGTGCACCAGGTCCCAGATGGCCCCGAGGAGGAGACCACGGCAGGCCCGCCGGGAGGTGGCCACCTTGACGAGCACACAGCTCATCTGCTTGCGCCCCAGGCCCGGCCGTCCCCGAGCCCCACCTCCCCCATGGATGGGCCCACTCACCGGAGATGGCCTCCTTGGGCAGGTGGCTGGAGATGACCTTGTTGTCAGTCAGAGGCGTGAGGATGGCCGCCGTGTTCCCCAGCATGCTCCCAATGCCCAGCATCAGCAGCATGAAGAAGTAGAGCGCAGACCACAGCTGGGACACCTCCATGTTTTTAATGGCCTCGGTATAGACGATGAAAGACAGGCCAGTGCCCTGGACCGCCTGCCCGTGGTAAGAAGACAGCAGTTACACCCCCAAGGGGCTTGGGACTCCTTAAGCACACTTGATGCGAAGCAACTTGGGGGACCTGGGGGGTGGCCAGGGGAAGCCACATGCTGAGGCTGGGTTTGCCATCCGCACACCGGCCCCTCGGGCTTAGTGGGGCTCGGTAGAAATGTGAGCCGTCAGGAGCCCGTATTTGCAAAGTGTGAGGAGACATTTCAGTCATTTCGGAACACTAAGCTCCCCTCTCTGGCTCCAACTCACATCCACTCTGGACGAAATACAGTCAAACAAGGTTTGGGTAATTTGTTTCCAGTATCATGACCACCGAGGCGTTCTGAGGCCTCAGTGGCTGGGAGGCGAGGTGGGCGGGTGGAGCCACGGGAGCTGGGAGGGCAGGGTTGCTCCGTGGCCAGATCCACGGAGGATACCACTGTGGTGGGGATTCGACCTGTGGAAACAGAGCCTGGAGCTCCTGCTTTAAGACAAACCCTCCAAGAGGGTTGAAAGAGGTCTTAGGTTGGGGGGGGGTGCCCTCTCTGGGGCCAAGCTCCCCCAATTTAGACCCGAGGGACCGCCAGGGAGGATCAAGCAGCAAGCTTGCGAACAGATTTATAAACCTACAAGAAGACAAGCTACTGAGGAAAGAATCAGTGGGAATAATTCCCAAGATGACAGATGTTGGTTGGATTGGCAGATGCATGGCATACCAATGAGCTTAGTGGGATTCGCCGGCTCTGGGTGCAGACAACAGGCGGTGATCCTTTGCAGAGAATTTACAAACAGTAACGAAACCTGCTAAAGTTGGCTTGCTTTTTACCGTTATTATGAGCCAACAAATTCTCAACAGTGCCAGTGATAAAACAGACTGCCTTCACTCTCCTGCCCAAGGCCACCCCCCCCAGAACAGCTATGTACGATCTTTTCAAAGAAGCAGAAGATAAAATTGCCAAGATAAACATATCACAAGAAACTATTAGCCTGAAAAGCAAATTTGAAGGAAAAAAAAATCGTGTCTAACAAATTATTGAACCGAAAGACTCCATCAACAGCTAAATACCGCTTGCAGCTGAAGAGAAAATTAGGGAACCGGGAGGCATATCCCCGGAACAGATCCATGATGAAGAAAAAAAAAAAGATAAGAAGTTGGGAAAACATAAAAGAGAAATGAGCGGACGCGCAGGGTCGGATGTGAAGGTCTGGAAGGAATTCTGACACAGAAGTACGGGCAATGATTAAGAGGTAACGCGTATGAATTTTCCAGAACTGATAAAGACACATGGATCCGTGGATCCAGGAAGCCCAACCTCACCCAAGCCACGTTGGATAAATAAAAAATACACCTGCACTTAGGTGGCTGAGACCAGAGTCTAAGGGAAGGGCACAGAGAAATCAGAGCGAAAGCACTGGGCAGCCGAGTGCTTCCAAGAAGGATAGGACATTTCAAGAGCAACCAGTGGAAGCCGGAATCACATGGCAAACATCTCTGAAGTGTCCAGAGACGATAACTGCTAACCTGGAATGTTCCACGCAGGAGAGACAGTCTTTCAAAAGAGTGGACTGAATATCGACATTTGCATACAGACAATACCCAAGGAAATTTATCATCAAGAAACAGGTACACCTGGAATGAATATAGCCCCGTAATTATAATGGAATTAAGATTAAAGGGGTGAAAAAACAAGCTGCTCTAAAGGAATGCATTTTAAGGGAGAAAACAATCCCGGAAGATGTCTGGGGTGCCGGAGGAAATGGTGAACAGGTGAAAAGGCAAACACTCAGGGAAAGACACAGCGGACACAGACGGTATTTAAGACTAGAGGGACGAGATGAGCGGGCACTATGGTACTTGTTCTGTTTGGGCGGGAAGTCAAGATCCTGTTGAACTTCAGATTTGGTTGAGTTAAATAGGCATGGAACAAATTCGGGAGGATCACTAGATCAGTTCCAAACAGCAGAGATCCCAGCATGACCGTGACAGAAACAGCTCCAGGCCTCGGGACCCTCAAAGGTAGCACCCACAGATGGACTCAGGAGGACAAAAGTTAATGACAAAGGCCCCCTGTTGGGTATGAACCGGCAGGTCTCCCCACCCCCGCACGCTCACAGCGGCCTAGGCATTTGCAAGGAAGGTGTCACTACCTCTGGGAAATGACACACAGGTTGGACACTGAGGCTGACTGCAGACTCCTCCTCGGCTTGCACTTGTCCCTGTGGGCAGCTCTTGGCGGAGGGAAGCAAGCCGAGACCTGGCCCGCGCCTTACCGTGGCCAGCTCTGATTGCAAGCTGCAGTTTTTCATTTGCGGGAGCACCTCGCTGTATTTGCCGGGGAAGGTGGACTCTAGGTAGCTCTTCACCTGCTCCAGGTTGCTGGCTGTCAGAAAGCCATCTTCCAGGTCAAAAGAATTGGTCAGCAGCAGAATCACCCTGCAGAGCAGAGCACCAGATGGACCTTCGCTGATTAGAAAGGCCACGGTCACGGAACCCTCTTGAAGCCTGGATGCTAGAGGTCCCTCCCCTCTGATCGGGCAAGGTCTCTCCAACAAAGGGACTCTGTTGATCAGTGACCAGTGACCTTTTAAAGTTTGCCGGCGGGCTGGGGGGGTTGCGGGTTGAATGGCTTTGAAGGAGCGTCAAGTAGGACCGGAGATGAGAAACCAACCCACCCAGCTAGGCCACGTTCACGTCTGGGCCAACACTGTCCGACAGAAAGTTTGTGATGATGGGAATACTCTATGTCGGTGCTGCCCAGTGCGGCCCCCACTAACCATGGGGGGCTGCTGAGCGCTTGAATGTGGCAAGTCTAACTGAGAAACCCACTTGAATTCATTTACAGGTAAATGGAAATCAATTTAAACAAAAATTTAATTCAGTGACTTAATTTAACTTAAAATCACAACCGCTTCAATTGATTAAAATTTAATCAACTAATTAGACTTTTAAAAATTAATTATGTAAATCCATCCCCATTTCAATCTGTCAGTAGCCACGTGTGGCTAGTGACTCCCGCACGGGACCTGGATGAGGTTTGTCGTGTTTTGGGTAAGGGGAGGGGGGAAGAGAGCAGATTCTGGGCTCTCCGTGGCTCACCCAGAGAGCGCTCGGTTACTTCCGAGGTCAGGGAGACGGGGAAGAAACCAAGGCTTGTCTGTCGCACTGCCCTCAGCCCTCAGGCAGGGGTGCCCGGGTTGGGGCCCCGGATGGAGGGCTGCACAGCCGCTGCCTCACGCCCCTCGCCTTCCCGGCGGCCCTGGGAGCCTGGGGGAGGCCCCGCCACCCAACGCCCCGGGCTCGCGGGGACGGCCCCCCGGGGCGGGCTTACTTGTTCAAGCAGCTCTCATAGTTGAAGGTGGCCTTGAAGCCGTAGATGGAGAAGGTCACGATGCTGGCGAAGACGGAGGTGGAGCTGTTGATGAGGGACACGATGATGGCGTGCTTCTGGCAGTTGTTGGACGGCTCGTTGTAGCTGGCGAAGGCGATCAGGCTGCCGAAGCCCAGGCCCAGGGAGAAGAAGATCTGCGTGGCTGCGTTGATCCAGGCCTTGGGGTTGGCCAGCTGCTCTAGCTGCAAAGCCGGGCAGGGGACGGGGCCGCTGAACCAACCCTGTGACCCCCTGGCAGGGGCAGGAGGCCCGGTGAGGGGGACCGAGCGTGCCTATGACCCCCGGCCCCGCGGGAGCCTGGCCACTTCCCCAGCAGCCCGCAGCACGCGTGGCTCACGTCCCATCCTCCACAGCGCCTTTCCCCGCGGACGTGTGCAATTGAAAAGGGCGGGGTGAAGTGATTTAAGACACTGGGAGCCATTTGGAATGTGGGGGGGCACCTCAGGGGGGGCGCTGCCACAGTCATTCTGTTTCCAGACTTGCTAAATGAAGAACCTGTTTTGTCCCAAAGGCAATAGTGCCCCCCCCCATCTCCACACACCCTGCCGATGGCTGAGCATTGGCTGTGGGGTGCAGGGGAGTGGGTGGGCTGGGGAGGGATCACAGGATACCCTGCGGAGTGTGGATTCACCCCTGTAGGGAAAGGGGTGCGTGGAGGTGAGCAGGCAGGAGAGAGAGAAGTGGTTGGATGATAAGTCACATAGTCCACAGGCTGCCAGGAGGGTGCGAGGTGAGAGTGGGGGGGCCAGGAGGCCAGACATGGGGCTCGGGTAGCAGTCGGTTGGGGTGCAGGGAGGACGGGGAGGACGGGCGGACGAAAGACTCAGTGTCCCCAGAACGAACAGGACTTGGGGCCAGCCTGGCTGAGGTGACCCAGCGCCCATAGGTAACCCACACTGCTTCCCCAGCCTGGTGGGCTCCCACCCACCTCCCTGGGTCTCCCCCTCTTCCCACCCATCCTGGAAGACGGCAGGTCCCCCTCCCTCCAGCCTGTACCTTGGGCGTGAACATGTACGCCAGGCCGTTGGTGGCTCCGTGGAGCGTGAGGCCCCTGACCAGGTAGATGACGAGCACACAGTAAGGCAGCAACGCGGTGAAGTATACCACCTGTGGGCACCAGAGGGCACCAGAGGGCAGCGTCAGCCTCCCGGACACCTGACACCAGCCACCACCGGCCCCCTTTGTCCCTGGGACAGACCCCCAGGGGGTGGTCCCCACAGAACATTCCCCCGTGTCAGGCGTTCAGGCTACTGACGGCTGCAAAGCCAGGACCACTGGTTCTGAGTTTGGGCAGGGGAGCTGGGGTGCTGGGATGCCTGTGCCCGCCTCTGTAACCACCAGGAAATCTGCGTCAGTAGGACCAGAGGAAAATGGGTACGAGGTCTCTGCCTTCCACCCTCCCTCCGACAGGACCTTATTCCAGAAAGGATTTGGGTATACCTAGCACACTGCTATTTTTAACCGCTAGATGAGAGACCGTGTGAGCGATCCAGTAAGATGAGCCCAAAAGGAAAGGCAGCCCACAGGATGTGTGTGTGAGGGCTAGACCCTTCGGGGGCCAGCTTCTTTCCTCTCTGAGCTTCCTAGGGGCCCCAGCACTGCAGAAAGCACCGTCGCTCCCACCTTTGATATTGTCTTTAGAAGGCAAAACAAAACAAAAACCAAAAACCACCACCACCACCACCACCACCACCAAAAAACCGAAAAACACCTAAGGGGCTTGGAGCAAGGGCATGTCTCTCCAGAACTGAGACCTGAGAGGAATCTGGCCATGAGGGCTCCTGAAGGAAAAGTGATGATGTTGGTGTAGGGACCATGTTCCTATCAGAAATACGACAGAAATTCAATGATCTGCTTTTTTTTTTTTTTTTTTTTATGAAAGGCTTCCCTCTCATGGTCTTTAAAACTGCACATGAACAGAATTTTTGGTCAACCAAATCTTTTCCTGCGGACAGGCATCACAAGCTCGACGACGTTGCATCCTTGGTTTCCGTGCTGGTGTCGGCTGCAGTCTTGCAGTCCGGGCCTGCTAACTCTGCTAACGCTAACTGTCACACGGCCTTCAGACAGGGACCTGCGGGCGCACGTGTGTCCATCCGGGCCCGGCGCTTTTTCTCTGAACCGACTCACATGGGCACCAGAGCCTCTTTATGTAAAGCACAGAAATGTTTTGCAAAATTCTCTTGGCGAAAGCAGTTTGCTTGAAGGTTGGGTCCTCCTGTGAGGCGTCTGGTTGGAGGCCCATGTCCAGAGGCGCTTGGATTGGATCTCACCAGGCCCTCTATCCCTCCATTCCTGCGGAGGTGCGGCATCATTAGGGGCCTCCCCGGAAACTTCCAAGGCCACCCAGAGGACTGGTTCATGCCCTCTCACCCCCGGGGACAACAGGCAGGGGTGGGGCGTGTCTCTTATCACTGATTCTTCCCTGAGGTCGTTGTAACTCAAGCAGAGTAATCAAGCCAGCTGACTTGACAAGAAAAATAATCCAGGAGTGACACGGAGACAGATGAGGACAAGGGCCTCGGGCGTGAGCTTAAGAACATTGAGGGCAACTGGAGAGGGGTAACCAATGTCCATAACCGGTGGACAGTTAGGGGATACTAGGCAGGCCCTTGGAACTTCCCTCCTTCCCCTCAGGTAACTAAGTTTCCTGGAAGGCTCTCTGGGCTCACTTCTCCCCCATCACGGAAGCTGGACATGTGACCCAGCCTACACCATTGGGAGAAACCACTTCTGACCCATCTATGACATCTCTTGGAGTGAGGCGGGGGGGCAGAAATTCCAAGAGAAGAAGTCAGGAAATAGTACACAGTTTTTAACAGAATTACTTCCCCATAAATGAAGCTGTTGGGGTATTTCTGCATGGAGAGGGGGGTGTGGCTTGAGCAGAGGAAGTAGTAAGAATAAATAAGAGTTCATAGCATGACATGACCTCATTTCGCACATTTACAAATGATCTTGAAAAGAGATGGCCTCATTAAATCTCCAAGTTTACAGATGCTGCCCTCAGATCTTTTGTCACGTGCATAATAATCTGGCGAAGGCAAATCGCAAAAAACATTTTTTTTATGAGCATAAAATACGAGCCAAACTTCAAGATGCGATGGAGTGAGTAGCTGCCAGGCTCTAAGTTCTTCCAGAGAAGATTCACTAGTCCCTCAGCTTGGCCATGGGGCAGGCACGGTGCTGGGGTCATCACAGGGTACCTAAAATATCACAAGTAGTCTTGCTGCCTCTAGAGAAACACGGTGGGGTTGGAGGAGGCCACCCAGGTGGTCAGGAGAATGAGGAGAGGTGGCCTCAGGACCTTTGGAAGGGAAAAGCTGGGATGAATCATGTCACGAAAGGCATGGAGAGAGCAAGCAGGAGGTAGCTCACCAGACCAAGAGGATGGGGAGTCTTAGGGGCAAAGCTGGGTCTGCCCCGGCTCTGCCCTCACTGGTCGGTGCCCTTGGGCAGGTCCCTCTGCCCCTCAATGCCTCACGGGAGTGGGATAATGAACTCTACTATAAAGGGCTCCTGCAAGACGGGGACAAGGTGCAAGCCCAACCCTCAGGGGATCGGCTAGGACGAGTGCCCGAGTATGAGGATGGGGCGCGCCCCGGAGGGCATCTGCTGCAGCTCCAGAAAGATGCCAGGTGCTGCAGAGACTGCAGGAACACATCCTCCACTGGGCAGATTAAAGAGCATCTCCGCGCCCCCCTACAGAAGAATAAACCTGGGGATGCACCAAGGAGAGAAGGTTCATCAGTCAGGCTGGACAGCTCTGCAGGGTCATGGACAGCAGCTGAGAGCAAAGGTTCTCAGACTCGGCTGCAGATTAGAATCACCTGGGGGCACTTTTACCATCCCGATGCTCAGGTTCCTCCCCACACCGATGACTCCAGGACCTCCCGGGGGCGAGGCGGACTAAGACATCAGAGTTCTAGAAGTTCTCCGGATGATACTGATGTGCAGCTAAGTTGGAGGGCCAGGAGCTACGGCGTCTTGGGGACATCTCCAGGGAAGGGAAAACTCACTGCCTAGTTGCTTGGTGCCCCTTGGGTGGTATGGATGTGGGGCTGGCTGGCGCAGGAATGCTCATCTTTTTAGGTAGGGGCAAAGTCCTCCTTTCAAGATTGCAACTTCGAGTACCACTGTCTGGTGGCCTGCTAGGTGATTTGTGACCATACCCTCCCCCCCAGCCCAGCTTCCCCCCGCTCCCGTTGGCACTGCCCAGGCCGGGGCAGAGGCTCTGCCGTCCCCACCTTGCCGGTGGACTCGGTGCCCCGCAGGATGCACAGGTACACCACCAGCCAGGCCAGGATGAGGCAGAGCGCCGGCTCCCATTGCACGCGCCCACTGTCCTGGATGGACGGGGAGATGTTGAGGGTTTTCCTGTACCAGAAGTACTGCGTGGAGGATGCCTTCTCACACTCCTGGTCATAGCCCGTGTGGTTGTCATTCAGCGGGCACACGGACCACGGCAGGGGATCCTTTGGGATCAAAAGAAGCATTATACAGACCGGTGAGGGCTGAGGCCGGAGGGCCAAGTGGGAAGGATGGGAATGGCCCTGAGAGGGGGCTTGGGGAGGGGCGGGGAAGAAGGGCGCTGGTCCCCAAAGGACAGGTGGCCTGATACCTGAAGGCAGACAGGGAACGGGAGGGCTGGTCAGGGGCACAGAAAGGGCTTGGGGGGGTGGAAGAGAGGTGGGCCGAGGGCTCCACATGCTCCACACTCCAACAAACAGGTGTTTGTTGAGGATTACCTAGCTCTGTCATGGCTCCGAGAGACTGGACCAAACGGACAATGGCCAGACCACCTATGACAGTAGAACCCACAACCTCTGCAGCGAGGAGCCCAGGGGACTCCAGCCACAGTGTCTGCAGGAACTGCAGCCTCTGGGTCAGGCTGGGGTCTTTGCATCTGCATCTCTAATAGCCCCTGGTGCTACTGTTGGGGAAGGTCAGACAGGAGGCTGGGAAGCCCAGGTAGTGGGATGGACAGAAGCAGGGCCCCTGAAGCCAGGCTGCCGGCGTCTATGCTTGGCCCAGAGCAAGCGCAAGTGAGTGTCTGCGGCTGGTATTAGCCTGATGTGAACACGGATGAGGGCTCCAGAGCAGAGGGACTGAGGGTGAAGGATGGAATGAATGGACAGTCCAGTGATTTTCAGGAATTGCTGGTCCTCGAACTTCTGAGAGTTAGAAAAATGGGTCTCATTTCTTGAGGCAACCTTATTTTCATCTTTGGAAGGTGGTCAAATTATTCTGATTTTGTTAGAACAAGACACATTGGTTCCACCTTTGGAAAACTGTCTTTATGAGTATACAGATCTGTAATGCCGGCGATGTGTATGGCAACTCTTTAGTTGGAGTGCTGTTGTGCAGTGCACAACCTGCCCAACTATACATGACAGATCTGCACAGAGGAGGAGGAATCGTCACCAGAGTGGAGAGTAAGAGGAGCTACTGTTTCTGCCCAGAAGGTGGAGGAGAGGCCAGGGCTGTGGAGTCAGGGAGAAGATGAGGGGCTGCAACTAAGCTCAGAGCAGAGTCCTTCCTGTCAAGGATGTACACAGGGCATTTGCGGTGAACGGGTAGGGCTGATGGGGTAGCCAGAGTGGGGCGTGGATGTAGTACCTTCCGAGTGTAAATGCCAAGTCCCGATTATAGAGGTCATTCACCCAAGCATTCCTTGGGGTGCAAAGATTCAAGGCTGTGCCCCAGTACTCCAGAGAGTGGCCCCACGAGTTGGGGTGAGTCCACAGTGCATGGCCAGCTCTGCCTTGCTTTTGGAACTTGAGGACAGTGTCTGTCCTGTGAAGGCCCGGTTCAGGGGTAAAAAGGGTGGGGCATCGGCCCAGTGACCTTCTGACTGAGACGGGGTGGGGGGCTGCTGGAGGGCGAGAGGGGGCAGTGGGCAGGGCGTCCCTGAGAGTGAAGGGCAGGCACTGAGGAAAAGCAGTGCGCACGGGCGGCGGAAGGGAAGACTCCTCTTGGCTTGGAGACAAAGAGCACCTCTCAGCGAGGAATCGGGGTTCTCTCTTCTCTGCGATTTTCAGCCCCCTCCCATGTGCTGCCACGAGCGTCAGCTGCGGCTATCATCAGAAATACGTGTTTAAAATGTTTCTCTTTGGGAGTAGCCCCTATTGTGTTACAGGGGTGCCAGTGGTCCTTCTAGGAGAACTCTGGTCTGTGGGGAAAAGTGGGGGCTCGGCCTGGAGTCGGAAAGCTGGAAGGACAAGTGACCAGAGCAGGGAGGGGGTGAGGGGGTGAGCCAGAGGAGAAGGAAGGCCTCCTCCCGTCTTGCTGGGTTGGTGGAATCCCTCCCCACTGGCTCTCTCCACACGTTCTCCGGGGCTGGCGCTCAATATTTTGCGAGGGGTGGGGGGTGGGGTCACATCTTTCAGAGAGAACCCAGTGAAAGCTAGAAACCTGCTCCCCAGAAACGTGGACCCACACGCATGCGCGCACACACACCATGGCAGGGGCCCGTGGAGGCCAGGCTCTGCTTGGCGTGGGGTGCTCAGCCTCCCCGCCTCCCCTGCCCCCGCCCTCCCGGGGCTGCCCCCTGGGGGTGGCTCCCGCTCCGGCCTGGGCCGGCTCACCTGGAAGGAGTGGAAGAGGTACCAGAAGGCCCAGGCGTTGATGATGTTGTAGTACGTGGACAGGAAGAAGGACACCACCATGCTGGCCAGGCCTGTGAGGATGCAGAGGGGCGCTGAGGCCCAGCCTGGGTCTGCCGGCCGGGGACACGCCTGGGTGACTGCCCCGGGAGAGCAAAGCCTCCTCCGACAGCTTTGAGGGAGGGCCAGCCATGACCGGGCACCCGCGGGCCCTCTCTAAGGGCAGGCCCGTCCCCGCAAACTCACTCCCCAGCAAGGCCGAGGCCATGTCTGCCACCCGTCGGTGCCAGGTGCAATCCGAGCACTTGATGGGCTTTCGGTCTTTGCGACTATGTGGTCACGGGGGCGTCATTACCTGCCCTTCCCGGAGGAGAAAATGAGGCACAGAGATTGCCCGAGAGCGCTGGGCTGCGGTGTGGCGGACGTGGGCTCAGCACAGAGCGTGAGCGGCCTGCTGAGCCTGCCCAGTGCCACCCCGATGCTTCCCCGCCGGGGCTCCCCCGAAGTGGGGTCCCTTGTGCCCAGCCCTGCCTCGTGGCGGCAGGGAGCGGGGGCGTGGGGCTGGGTGTCAGGAGGCGAGGGGACGGGTCGCCCAGCGCCCCGGAGCCACTGTGCGCGTCTGCGCCCAACCCCACCCCATGGGGCATCGCGTGGGGGGGGGTCTGCAGTCCGCCACGGTGCAAATATTTATACCACCGGCATTGGTGAACGCTACCGCCAGGCTCTCCCTACCCCCAGCCCTCCTGGAGGGCTGGTGGTTAAACATTCGCCCACACCCCCGCTTGGCACAAGCATCCAGTATCTTTCCTATTAGGCAGCAAATGCCACCTCGGAGAAGCCCTTTGATTGATTTCGTGGGCAGATTGTAAAACCACACGCTTCCTTGTCAAAAATGAACAGCCCTTCAAGCTGAGGAGGCAGTTGGGGTTTAGAGATGATTCGGGAGGCCACGGACGTGTACGTCCTCCTTGCTCCCGAAACACCCTCCGCTTCCCTGCCCGCCTTCCTGTCTGGGGGCGGGAGGGTGGAGCAGAAGGGACTGTGGCCAGTGCGGCCCAAAGTTCCTCCCGCTGCTCCCAGGCAGCCCTGCAACGTGAGGGTTGTGCAGGGCAGGTTAACCATCTCCGAGCGGTGCCCGGGACACCAGCTCCAAGTGGCTTGGGGGGAGGGGAGGGATGGGACGTGCAGCCTCCGGCTCTGTGCACTGGAGGTATGACCGGCACCCCGCGGCCTCTCAGTGCTGTGACAAAGCTCGCCTGGGCTCATGAGGCTGGCACCTGGCACTGAGGAGGTGCTCACGGAGAGGGAGACGTTGTTACTAATAAGTAGCAGGGAGCAGTTAGCTAGATGAGTTCCCAGAGCGGTAGCCCGCTGGGACATTGCGTTATAGCCCCTTGGCTGGGCAGCTAGTTCCCTTTTACAAAAGAGCAAACTGAGGCCCAGAGAAGAGAAGCAATGTGGCACCAGCTGCCCAGTGCGTGTGCATCTCCGCTTTCTCGCTGGCCTGTGGGTAAGAAATCCAGCACCTCTCAGCAGGCATGTGGGGGCACCCCCTCCCGGGCCGTGCGTCCACCCATCCAAGGGCTCTCTCTTAGGCCTTGCGCTTGCTCCTTGGCCCCAGCTGCTCTGCCAATGGGCTCCCACCCCCACCCCCTGCTGCATCCCGGACAGGGGTCCAGGTGGCCAAGGACGAGAGAGGACCCACTTACCAACACCACCAAGGTAGGGGCTGATGGTCCTCCAGGCACCGATGCTGCCCTGCCGCATGCGCTGCCCCACTGCCAGTTCCAGGTACAGGAGAGGCATGCCCTCTACAATCAGCATGATGATGTAGGGCACCAGGAAGCTCCCTGCGGGCGTCCAGAGCCAAGACCAGGCCATCACTGATAGGTTTTACTCTGGAGCCCACACAACCTCCATGCACATGTCCTTCCATCCACCTTCCCTTCCCTCCTTCAGTCTTTCCACATATCCATTCATCCTTCTACCTCTCCACCCACCCATCCTCCCACCTTTCCATCCATGTGCCTTCACTCTCTTCCACCTTGTTCCACAACCCACTGTTCTTTCTTTCCTCTCACCCATCTGTCATCCATCCATCTGTGTTCCATTTGTACATC